TTATTATACTTTATATAAATCTCATAGCTCTTTATTAGATAAACTTGAGAGCTTGCGAGGACTTGGTCTGAATAGCTGAGCACTCAATCTCTCCTTTTGCAAGAGTTGTCGGAAAACATACTTTGCCGCTGGTTCTCTTTATTYAAGGTGTATCATTAAAATACCTATCATCTTGGTATCATCAGTGTCAGGTGAATTTTTTTTTTCCTATAATCAAACATGTATCTAAGCTTTAGGAGTTTATACACAATTGTTACAGTTATAAATTAAAATGTATTTAATTTTAGCTTTTAGCTAGCATTTTGCATTTATTTTGGTACTTTAAGCAAGCATTTTAATAGTTTTAGCTACTTTAATTAGTGTTTTGCTGCTTCTAACATTTTAATAGGCCTACTTATAGACATTATATATTTAGCTTTCAGTTAACTTATTGCTACTTTTAGCAAGCTTTTTGATACTTTTCTTATTGCTACCATTATCATTTATTTTGGTATGTTCAGCAAGTCTTTTAATAATTTTAGCTACTGCCCTACTTTTAGCTAGTGTTTTGCTGCTTCTCACATTTTATCCCTTATAGCTGGCCTTTCCTTATATTTAGCTTTCAGTTAGCTTATTGCTACTTTTAGCTAGTATTCTGCTACTTTTAGGTTTTATAGATCATTTTCTATATCTAGCATTTTGCTAGTCTACATTTAGTTTTATCTTGCCTTTTGCTACTTTTAGCTTTTACTTAGCATTTTGCCAATTGTAGCTAACATTTAGCTACTTAATAATGTTAGCTAATATTTTTCCAGTTTATTTTTCAGTTTAGTTTCTATAAAAGAATTTCAGCTAAATCGTTCACCATTGGGGTACCCAGGTCTCACCCGCTCATCTCTGACGTTTCTTCTTCTTGGTTGTCGTAGCGCGCGGGTGAGCGTGCGTGAGGAGAAGTGCGTCTCTGCCGGCGCTGGTATATGTGTGACTGTGTGTCTGCATCACTGTCTGTTTCTCCGTAATAGGCCTCACTGTCTGGGGGCGATGTGACGCCTCTGGGTAACTCAGTGGGAGAGAGAAAGGAGGAGCTGAGGACCACAGGAGGGGACAGRACCCTCATGGAGGACTGAGGGAACGTAGAGAGACCGGAGCAAGAAGAGGAATGAAATCCAGAGGAGGGCCTGAAAAGAAACACATAACAAGCTGTGAAAAAGTAAAACATGCAACATCTTGTATAATATGACTACACAGTGTGTTCTGACCTTTTAACCTTCAGGTTCAGGGTGCCACTTTCTCTATCTATCAGGTTCATGGCCTGAGCGTGGCTGAGCTCTGCACACACGTGCTCGCCAATAGCAATTAGCTCATCATGCTCCTTCAGCCCAGCTTGGCACGCWTTGCTGCGCCTGCGTACCTAAACAGAGACAGAGGGAAAAGGAGCCATTTTGAYGTTCACTATTAAAGCAAGCGCTATTTCTCACTTTCTAATCTTTTACCTTCCAGTACTTATCATTCTGTACCAGCACTTCCTCACGTGTTAGTTCTTATTATCTTATTAAGTCTTAGTTCAAAACTCTGGCTCATAGGGATGCATCGATATGAAAATTTAAGCTGATATCGATATCCGATATAATTATTGCTGTTATGGCCGATAACCGATACAAACACACAAATTATATTATACATAAATGCACAAACACGTTTGGGTCTTTTTTCGATACCATAAATAAATGGCCAGACCTCTGACATGGCTCCCTACTTCAGCGTCAATATCACTATCACGATCAAACAGATGCCACTCGACCAAACGTTTCGCCTACSAAAACAGAAACACAAAGCTAAAAAGTGGGAAATCAATATCAGATGTTAATATCGGCACAGTTTTACATATTGGACCGATACCAATATTCTAAAAAATAACGATTATTGGCTGATACCGATATTAATACAGATATATCGTGCATCCCTATTGATAGCTTTTAAATTTTATGTCTCTGATCTTCTAAAAGCGACAAATTCCATTCTTTAGCTTTATAGACTTTGTGAGGACAGCTGCTGCTGGAGGTCGATGATGTCATGGGACCCTTCAGGAAGTATGTCAGTCGGGGTGGGGGCGTATGGATGAGATGGTGTGCATTCTTGTCTCAGTTGGAGTTAAAAGTAGACGATAAAGCCCATCTGTTCCCCCCTCTCTCTCACACACACACACACACACACACACACACACACTTACACACACTTTATCTCCGCTGAAGGTAAAAATGTTGAGTGTGTTCAAGCACCTCTAGCCAGTATCAGGAGGCTATTTCTTGTTCCAGTTATCCCTCTTCACTTTCACACCAGGGGATCAAGGACAATCTATCGTTCTCATTCTGTACCACAACGAGGCAAATACACCCACACACTTGTGTAAATATATACACACGCATAATAAGAGGGATTTAAACAGCTGCATCACCAGTCAGGAACAGGGGTGCATGTCTATCAATCATTCACCAAATGACCCCTCAATGTTCCCAAAATACAACCTTACAGCAAATTCATCCACATTCCTAGACAGGCAGAGGGAGACAGGCAATACTGTGATGCTTTATGGGAAAAGAAACCAGTAAAGTGTGCGTCTGTGTCTTTCAGTGTGAATAAGAGGTCAACCCTTTTTATTTCCATGCGTGGCTTCCAGCTCCCCTTAAACGAGCTATTCTGATCCTCCCGCTTGCACTCCGGGCTTATCAGAGGTATGCCCAACCACACGGCTGCCAGCACAAAAAATAAAAAAATAAAAAACGCACAAGAGCAGGAACACACTAATCAAACTCTTGGGTGAAGAGAGAGACCGCCGGTGCCCGAGCTTCTTGGCTTCGATTTGAGCGACCTTTGACCTTTCTAACATCGGTGTGAGCGAGTTCACGTTCCAGAATTTTGAAAATAGCTTTGTCTATTAGAGAGGACGTGCTGGACTGTCAGCGAATGTAGACGTGCAGAAATTTACAATCAGAATCAGAAAGCTTTTCTTGAGAATGCAATTAATATTTAGTGACATTAAAAATATGTAGACCTTTCCCTTTGATATTTGTACTCTGAAAAGAGAAGCTGGCTCTTACTCCATCTGCTCACAAGACTATTTGATGCTTTCTGTTCCATTTGTCTGGACTGAATTGGTGAAAAAAGGCTTTTGTCCATTCTGCAGCCACTGCATGGAAGACAGAGTTGAAAGACTGGAAACAACTCGCAAGTGTTGTTCTTAGCTTGTTTTAAAATGATTTTTAATGTTTTACTTGATGTTTTAATTAGGTTGTGTTACTGTAATGTTGGAACTTTGTGTTTTATTTGCMGCTAACTATCTGGGCAACATCTCTCTTTACAAAGAGGTTTTTAATCTCAGTGGGACTTCCTGGTTAAATAAAGGTTAAATAAAACTAAATCAATGTTGTATTCGAGATACAGTGTCCAAAATATCTCATGAACCGGTGGATAGATTTGAACAAAACTTGGAGATAGTAATCATTGGATGTACTTCTACTATTATTTAACTTTTGGACTCAATCTAATTCAGAAAGGTCAAGAAAAAGATAAATGCTTATAACGTGTCCAATCATTACACATTGCAGGAGATCTTTGATACTGAGCGTGTCATCCTACAATAACAGTTTGCATTATCATAATTACACAACGGTTTGCACCATCTGAAAATGTTCAGTTGATTGATTTGATTTGATTTATTTATTTACCAGGAAAAGATTATTAAAAATCAAGCTTGACTCAGCATAATTGCTGTTTTACAGCAGGTTCCTGTTCTGCAGCACATAAAACACTCAGAATTACAGCATCACAATCACATCATTATACACCATAAACACAAACAAGCATAGCAAATTTCAAAAAAGGCAGCATTTGCAAAATAGGACGTCTAAATATGAGCACAACAAAAAGTGTCCAGCAGATGGCAGACAAGATTCTTCTTAAAGGGCTGTAGTTTTGAAATGAACTTTATGTTTTGAGGAATGTCATTCCATGCTTTAGTATAAACATAGAAGAAAGACCTCTGGCCGTAACAGTTTTTAAAAGTTGGTGATATCAGTTGTCCTTTTGTAACAGATCTAGTTGAATGACCACTTCCAGAATTTGATTTGGGCAACAATGCACAGAGAGTTCCATAATTGGCACCTTGGAAGATCTGAAAATATAAATTAATACCACTATACAAAACATAATTCTGAAAAGTCAAGGCATCAGACAATGAAAGAACTGTACAGTGATGAGTCCAACCAGGAAGTTTTTTTATGAATTTTGTAGGCCCTGTTGTAGAGCCTAACTATGGGTTCTAAGATTTCATTTGTTGTAAGAGACCAAACAGGTAAACAGTACGACATGGTTGAGAGTATAATGGCATGAAGATAGATATTTGAAGAAGCTTTCAACTTTAGGAGATGTATTATAGAGGCATTCAACCACGGAATTTTATTTTTCCGGACTGGAACTTTACAAGTTGAAATATATTTTTCCTGTATTGTCTCCAACTTATCATAAAAATTTGACAAAATGTGATTTGGATTTGACAGAGAAATACCCTCATTCCAGTTAGTATTCTCAATCTCAGCATGAAACATGGGTAACTTTGATTTTGGAATCCTTTTAATGAAATTATGCACATGGCCTATAGGTTTCTTAAGGTTTTTCTAATGACATAAATAAGTGAATGATCCGAGATTGAAGTATTTATAACTCCAGATATGCCATATATGGAGGATCGATTTGTGAAAATAAGATCCAAAATGGAATTGCATGTCTTGCCAAATCTTGTTGGTACTTTAACTAACTGTTGAAGCCCTAAGTTTATAGACATTGCTTTCAGGCCTTTGGAAGTTTTATCAGCCCAATTCATATTGATATCACCAAGAATCACAAACTCTTTTGATTTTATGCCTTTTATAATGTCAGTGAGCTGCGCTAAATATTTAGTTGAATTAACACTTGGAGGTTTGTATGTAACAACAACCGTTACTGAAAGGTGATTTGTTAGCTTGATTTCTAATTGCAGAGATTCAGACTCAGTTGACAATTCTATTAGGCTATAGAATGTGAGTATTTCTTGTGATGAACCCTGAGGTCTTCATGCTGTTCCCTGACCCAAAAACAACAGGTGACTTGTAAATTGAACTGGACTGTGGCCAACCACTGCTGTGTGGAAGTGGATGAAGAAAACTTTAGATCAAAGCCTCTCAAATTACAAGAAAATTGTTGCAGCTTTTAACTTGACAGATGCAGAAATTTAGTTTGAAGTAACAACTGAATTTTGCCCTTCAAATAGATTTATAGTTATGTATTTTTTTTTCATTCGTCTCCACTAAAGGAAATAAACAATAGTTTATTAATCCATTTCCTTAAGGTATATCACCTGCTTAGTTAAAAACTAATGCCAGAATTTTAAACTAAGCTCACCTTGTATTGAAAAATGATGGAGTTGCTCACAAAATCTCACACATTAYTGTAAAATCTTGCATAATCTGTTAGTTCKTGGAGTATGTGTTGCAGACRACTCAACTACTATCTCAAATTTTATGAGAATATCTATAAAAATGRTTGAGTTACAGATAGATTTTTATTTGCTGAACTCCATTAGCTGTGCCATWTAGCTGTATCAAATGATTACTCCATGAAAGGTTCATTAAATTCTGCCCAATGCTTTCAAAGATATTTTGCCAAAACCACTTTTGCCCACMGGCAGTGATCATAACAGTGACAGTGGTTGCCTCAAACCACAAATAACAGCTGCTTWAAAATCTCACTGCACTGTGTAAACMCTTTCTTCTTCTTCTACTGTACCTTTGCCACCTGCAGAGGCTTTTGCTGCTCTGCTCCTCCTTGCAGTCTGAAACCCCACGGAGCTCCTCCTGAGATGGAGACCACGATCTCCTCTGCCACCATCCCTCCGCTCCCAGAGCACCGATTGTATGATTCTGCTCCTCTGCGGTTCCTCACACACTGCYGAGGGGTCTCTCATTACCCCACAGGGTCATTCCACCCATGAGGAGACAGAGGGTGGCTGGCTTTCATCTACCTCCACTGGAATGCAGCGTCACATGGGGGGTGGGGCGTTCAACACTTGCCATGTCAGTCTCAAGCACCTCATCCAAGAGGGGAGGATTCCTGATATAGACTCTAGAAATAACCCTCAACCCCCCGCCCCGCCCGCCCGCCCGCCCCGACCCCGCTCCATGCAGTGAGTCTGTCGAGGATCAGTGGCACAGATTTCTCCATGTTAACCAACAGAATCATCTGAAAACACAATTTAGAAAAGTGCTTTTTTTAACAGGCGCAGTTAGCAAGTAGCCCTGTATTGAACTTGCGACCTGTCCAGGGTGTACCCCGCCCCTCGCACTGTGACTGCTGGAYATGGGCACCAGTGACCCCCATGACCCTGAAAGGAAGAAGCAGGTTAAGAGAATGGACAGATGGATGGATGAATGYTATCAAGTAGCCTCTGAAAGCATATAATTTGTTGACTGAAGCCTCTAATTGTGAGGTCTGCTGCCTTACATTTCAGGGGAAAGCACAACTAGAACAATTGCCTTAAAATGTGATACACTTAAGCTGTTATATTGCACTACAATTACACTTAAAATGTGTTACAACACTAATAATTGCCAACTGTGTCATAATACATCCACAACTGCCCCAAATCGTGTTAAGATAATAATTGCTTTAATATTTTTAGAATGAACTGATATTTGTCTAAATTGTTATAATATACTAACAATTGCCTTAAAATGTAACAACGCCCTTAATTTTGCTATTATACACTAATAATTGCTTTAAACAGTGTTATTATGTCAAAAAATGCCTTACATTGTGTATGTTAATAATTGCTTCTATTGTATTTGGTGTTTTATTATTTTTTTATTCTTTGTTTATATGGCTTTTGCAGCAATTTGTTTCTCTGTGATTGTTTAAAGTGCTTCATTACATTTCTTTAATTTTTGTTCTTGCATCCCCCCCCCCCCCCCCCCCTGATTGTTTAAAGTGCTTCATTACATTTCTTTAATTTTTGTTGTTGTATTTCCCCCCTCCCTTGGAAGGGGTTAGAGTAAATAATGCCCTGTCCACCTAATTCATTTACTTAGTTTAGTTTGAGAATTATACATTAAGTAGATGCTATTTATTTTAAGTAGTTACCAAATTATAAGTTAATRTACAGTTTACTAACAATAACTGCAACACTTGAACACCTACCCTGCTCCCATGTTGTTCCTACCTGCGTACAGAGGAGGGGAGAGCGGCGGAAGTGGCYTTACGTTGTCCGGATGTGGACGTGGCACAGAAAGACAGCGCTGCAGTAGTTCCGCTGAATGTCCGCTACTGAAGAAGGGATTAGTGAGCAACACCCCGGGACGACATCGCCTTCTGAGTTTGTTGGCTTCTGGGCTTCACCGTTTACCACCAACAAAGGATAGCCTTACAGTTTGCCCATCTTCGGAGGTAAGTTTCGAGTAGATGCGACTCCGCGGGTGACATCCATGTCCGGCTCTACGTGGGCTCGCATTTCTGTTAATGCTAGCTTAGCTAATGCTAACAGGCACTGCTAACATGTCACAGGATCAGCCGGTTGGTTAGCATTTTCTAGCTCCAGCTGTGCTGTTGTCACCGTGGTTCAAGTCGGCCTGTAGCTAGCATTAGCATGCGAAGTTAGCACCCATGTATTTGAAGACTTAAATGCGCTCTCAGTTTCTACCACTTTATAATTCTTAACCCAATGTTTAGCCTCAGTTTTTAGCTTTCCGATATGTTATGCTACTGTTAGCTAGCTAATCARCTAAATTTAATGCGGCTCTGCTGCAGTCACCGTCAGTCCTTGTACGAAATAATTTACAATGAAGTCTTGAAAGTTTCGACTACAACCCTAAATTGTGTCACTGAATGAGAGGAAAGTAGATGTCAGTATTTATAGCAGACCTGACATACTAAATAGCTGTGCTGCAGCTAGTGATTGTATTTCTCATATGGCTCCTTCGCTGCTGAATTATTCAAAGACCCTGCTCGTTTAGCCAATGTTTGTTAGATGACACTCATGTTTAGGTCCAGACAAGTATCTAGATACCAAGTTTATAATAAGCAGCACAGCTGCTTCACATATATAGCAGCTGACTTGCAAGAAGACTTATCTAAAAGTTGTCATTTGAGCGTTTGTCACTGTTAAAACTTTCTAATACTATAGTTAAGCAGCAGCAAAAGATCCAGTATTTAACCCGAATTTTCTGCAAGTATTTTTAATCTGCTTGTATATTTATGAGATTTGGTTTCAGTTTTAGTTCTGCTTGATAGAGTACCTTTGTTGTACTCTGCAAAGTCTTTAAGATTTATAATCTTAACACTGAAAAGTTTGAGGTTGTTGGGATCTGTGGGTGTGGCCATGACATGGAAAACCATTTATTATGTTGTCATTAATCCAGAAAGTCTTAAAGTAATACGATTTCTGCTTGACAGAAGTTTTAAAATGTTTGTTGCCCAAATTTTAGATTCAGATGCAAGGTGTAAGTAAATTCTTCCTCGACAGAGTCATGTTTTGCTCTCTTAAGTCTTCATCCCTGTATTTGGAAATGTTTAAGGATAATCTTATGATATGAACAACAACCTTGATCTTTTTAGCATTTGCGTTTCAAGGACTTCTGCAGTGCACATTTTCTGTTGTCGTTTTAATTACACCTAGTTACAAGGTTAAATAAGCTTGCTTTAAAATATGAACGCTCGTATGATTGTGATGTTGTGACACGATAATTTCATCCAGATTTAGGGATGAACTGAGGATGAATGTAAACCAGCACACTCCAATGGCCTCTCCATACGGCCAGCCCCAACCTGGCTACGGCCAGCCCGGTTACGCTCCTCTGGATGGTGGCTACCCCGCTCCATATGCACCCTACAACGGCCCTGCTTCAGCCTATCAGCCTGGAGCTCCACCACAAGGTAAAAAGGCAGCTTCCAGATGAGTTTCTGTTTGGGGAAAGTTCTTAGAATCACAAAGCCACAAATATAGGGTGTTTTACCTGTTTCTCACTAAGGGAGCATACATGCATAAGGAAAACCCTCAATCTACTAATCCTAATCTCAGCTGCCCTTTCATTACTTCATTTAACTTCACTCATTACTCTGTATCTTTGTATTTGCCCCTATCCCTCCTTTTCTTTGATTTCAGGTTACTCCCCTTTTACAAGCTTTCCCTCTAAGGCTGTGGCAGCCAACCCAGCCTCTGACCTCTCCTCTCCTCTTGACTTAGGTAACTGGCTCTCTTCATCTCTGCTTCTCGCTCATTTCTCTCTTCAAATATCCTGAAATCATCCTTTACTTGTCTGCAGACATCTTCTCGCTGCCATGTCGTTTTCTCATTCTGAAGAATAGATCTTTTAAGTCTCGTTGCAGATGACTGAGGTTTAGCTGCCAGCAAATAACTTCTTTTGCTCTTTGGCAATTAGATTTGTAAGCAGCACTTCTAGTAATAAATATATATGTTCCTAACTGATTGTATATGTCTTCTTGTATTAATTTCCCTGCTGCATTTTTACATAGTCATAAACCTTTAGCAGACTAGTTAGCTTATTTTCTCTGGCTTACATTCCGCTTCTTATAAATATTAGATCACTTGTTATTTTTACCCTTTACTGAACTAGATTGGCATATTTTCTTKGCTGACATGTTTTATGATTTAGTCTGAGCTGCTAACTCAAAAMCAAAATCTTGGAATATTATCGGTTCAGCTCGGTACGCAGCTTTAAAATTCAGGTGGATTGATATGAAWACAATTGGTGACTCTATGTACCTGATACAGTGTTCTACAAGTATGTGACAGTAATCATGACGTCTTTCCTTTAGGTCCRGCTAGAGGTCCTCCCACCTCTGCGCCACCTCCCGTCTCAGCCCCTCAACAGTATAATCAGTACAGCCACGGTCTAGGTGACGTACAAAATGGCACCTCACCAATGACGCAGGCACCACCCAGGTAATATTCATTTTCAATTGTTACTTTGTAGTTTACTGTATTTATTCATGTATAATACTAGGAATTTAACCCTAAAAATCATTCAAAAAGTAGGGGGGTAGTATTATACACGGGCTATTAGTAATTAGATTTTTTTTATGCTTTTTAAGTTCAAAAAATGATTTTCGTATTATATTCGAGATCGTATTATACATGAATAAATACGGTAATTGAAATCTGAAGCCTTTGCTTTACTTTATTTATGTATGAAGTGTACAACAACTTTATATGTAAGCAGTGAAGGAAAATGTATTTATAAAAGCAAACAACTAAAAAACATTTTATATGTACGTATATAGACGTTTAGCATGTAGACCTGTTTTTGCTGATGTATTTTATGATTGTGTATAGAGATTGTGATTAGAATTGATTGCTATTGGCTTTTATGACTTGATGCAGTAATTGTGTCAACAAATTTTATGGATTATTGTTCTATGTCTTGATTTTAGATTGTATTTTGTTGTTCAGGGACTACAGATGGAAATTAGCGTAAGCTAAATCTGGTGCAAAGCATCTTTTAATGTTTTATTTGCACATTGTCCCTGTTTTAAATAAAGGAAGTGTGTGTGTGTGTGTGTGTGTGTGTGTATATATATATATATATATATATAGTTTATCTCATTTGAATTACAGGAATACAAAAAAATAAAAATAACGTCAAATGAAAAAGAATTAATTGTGTTAAGACGTTAAACAAGTTGTAATGGATCTAGTTTAAAATGCACAGCAAACAATGAAGAAGAGTTCTACCGTAGTCATTTTAGTCTGTGTGAAAGTTTAAGATGCTGATCAGGTGAGAATCAGACACATGATCTCATCGTCCTGGATATSGTAATCCTGACTGGCATCGTTCCAGAAAAATCTAACATCGAGTCAAAACATTCCTGTGGTAGTTTTAGAAGCTTATTTACAGGTGTTGATTTTTTTGTTGTTGTTGTTGCATTAATCTGCTTAATTTTACCAGATCTATGTCCAGATGGCAGACAGTTAATGCTCTTTGAAAATAAAACTGATTTAATCACTAAAGATGCTGTGTCAGTCAGCATTGGGAGCTTTTTGAACATAAAGAGCAGTGAAAGCACACAGTGGATACAGCTATAATATTTGTAAAAAAAAAAAGTATGTATTTATGGTTTGGATTATCCTAACCAGCTACCATATCCGTTTTCTAAGTCAGGTCTTTGTTCCACAAATGCTTTTTAAAGGCTTGTTTATCTGCATATACTGCCAAGAAGTTATTCTCCTGGGGCAATCCAGCTGGGTAGAGCCGTTTTCTCCTGTTCTGTGTTGCAAATAATGAGCTTTTCTAACTTTTGTGTGCAGGCCTGCTTCATCTCAGCTGTACAACCAGGGAGCTGCCAGCATGACAGGGGCACATCCTTCCTATCCACAACACTACGGGCCTCCGCCCACAATGCAGCAGGTCACCAATCAAATGACTCGGATGCAGATGTCTGGACCTCCGACCCCTGCAGGGCCAGGATATGGTAAATATGAACGCATTTGTGCCTAAATTTACAGATTAAAATTTGAGGCATGATTCCAGCTCTGCTATTTGAGAAAAATAAAATTGGTTTAAGTTTTATATTTCACTGTAGGACACAAATTCACAGTCTCCACTTTTTTACAGCTCCACCTCAGAGCTCTCAACCCGCTGTCAGTAGCTCCTATCAGACCGCACCTCAGCCCTCCTACACCCAAGCCCCGCCTCCTGTGTCCTCTGCTCCTACCCAGCCACCACCTTCAAGTGGTCCCGCTGCTCCTCAGCAATACTTTGCCGCCCCACCACCTCCCTCTCAGCAGCAGTTCACCTCCTCCCACCCCCCTACATCTCAGCCACAGTTCACCTCTTCGGTTCCACCTCCTCCATCACAACAAACTTTTCCACCCTCCTCCTTTTCGGGTCCCGTCCCTCCACCGAGCCAAGCCCCTGCTCCCCCGGTGTCCCAGTCACAGCAGCCTTTCGCTGCTCCTCAGCCTCCGTTCTCCTCAGCACCTCCACCTGTTAGCCAGCCTGGCTTTGCAGCCGGCCCACCTCCACCTGCCCAGGGCTCTTACCCACCTCAGCAGCCTCCTCCTTCCTCTCAGCCAGGCTCTTTCCCTCCACCAACATCAGCTGCCTCTGGCCAGTACCCCACACCCATGCCACACCAACAGCAGCCCCCAGCAACCCAGCCATCCCCGTACCACCCTGGACCCCCTCCGCTTAGAGCTCAGATGCCTCCCACCTCCAACCACCTGCCTCCAGGTCCACAGGGCCCTTCATGTCCACCAGGTCCTCCTGGGCCCCTGCAGCAGCCTCACTCTCCTCAGACAGGATACCCTCCTCAACAGAATGGTGAGGACTTGAGCTTTGAGTAAAAATGAAGGAGAAAAGTTTTTATTTTATCACACTGATCTGTTTTGTTTGCTCCAGGTGCATTTGGGCAGGTGAGAAGCCCTCAGCCTGGCTATGCAGGTCCTTATCCTGGACAACCAAACTACGGAGCTCCTGCATCAGCACCAGCTCCTGCTCCAGCACAGAAACGACTGGACCCAGACTCCATTCCCAGCCCGGTGAGCACAATACAAATGCATAAATGCTTTCATAAAAATGTTCACCTCTTCATCACTTCTAGCTCAGGTTATGATGTTCTTGTATTGAGCTTTGTTTTCTGAGGTGATTCTGCTTCCTGCGTAAATAAAATGGAAAACAGTATTTTTCAGAACAGTACAACAAATTCTATAACTTTAATATTGCTTGTAAAAAATATCTTTTTGAAACTCTCATGTTTCTTAATATCAAGTAACTATTTAATTGTCTAAATCTGTTGGTTTTTGAAATAAAAAATCATATTTTTATAGACTTCTGCCCATTATTGATGGAATTTTATTAAAAACAGTTGCATTTTTTGCTGTAAAGAAAAATAATTAATAGTTTTGTTTGTTTAAATGTGTTATTATTCACTACTAATAGCACATGTGAGTTTCCATGTGATTATCTTGATACTGCTGAGCTCTGTCATTCAAAAGTCGAACATTTTCCTGCTGGTTTTAAGCTTCTGTAACTCTTTTATATGTGGAGATTTTCAGCTTGTTTTTGAAGTGTAAGTGTCCGATGCTACATCATTACTAACCAGTGACTAACGCTACAGATCAGTTTCYGTGTTAACAGTTCTGCCTGAATCTCAGCACCGTCTTTTTTTTTCCTTCTTACCTTTTTATTCTTTGTATTTATTTTGTCCTGTTTTGCACAATTTGCTGGACAAACTTTTGAATGTAAAGCAAGCGTCTGACATGCCGGCTGTGCAGAAATCAAGACATAGAATAGATCCAGATGCTATTCCCAGCCCAGTAAGTTTCTTATGTCTGTCTCTTCCTCATTTTTATTTTGTCTCCTCTTCTCTGCTTGATCACATTCACTGCTTCCCCTCCTGTTCTTTCCTCCTAACCACTCAAAGTTTGCAGTAGTCACAGTAGTTTTGTTGAGGTTGCCTGTTCAAACTGGAATCGATGCAGTTTAATTGCACATTGTCTCTTTGTTTACGTACAGGAATAGAATAAGGCTCAAAGTTGAAGCTCTTCTAAACTCAGCAGTGGAATTGGAGCATAAAGCAAAGACTGGCTGTGTTTACATGCACAGCAATATTAACCTTATTAAAACCAGCAATTAGACTGCTGTCATGTGGGCAGTATTTTCTGATTGCCTTCAGGTCATAAYCAAATAATAATCAAACTGAACTATGGACTGTGCAACTTTTACCATTATCTGAAGACATAATGCAGCTTAGTGATTCCTGCTTTTGCTATATGTGTACTTGTTTTCAAGAACTATTTAAATTCCATTATCTAGTTGTTTTAGGCGTGTTTTCAATAACTTTTCTCAAAAGTCAGCAACCTTAGCTTCAGCAGAGTCAGTGCTGAGGTGTCTGCAGGTTCAGATTGTATTTTCAGTACAAGGGAGAAACTGAAGTAGTAGATGGTTTTTTGAAATATGGCTTCTGTTAAATATTTGGACCAGTTAAAACATTGAAGTTACTCAGGCTTTTGGTTGTAACAGTAACATGAAGGAAATGCTGATTTTAAACAGCAAAATTAGAACATTGTTTRTTCTGTTTTGTCAGTATGAACAAGCAAAATCCAGTCAACCAGTTTAAGGAGGACGTTTTCTTCCCTGATATGAGCGTTGCGTAAAAGGGGCTGCAGTCAAATATCTCTTGCTTTCTTTCTAAAGCAGATCAGCAGCTCCTGACTCTAAAATCTACTTTGAGCCTTTAGTCACTGAAACATTTGGGTGTCTGTGCTCTGAAAGTTACCTCCAGAAACTGTTGCAGCAGTAAAACCAAAGCAGAGAACGATTTGCAGGGAAAGTCAGCTGTGAAGGGAGTTTTAAACAAGAAATAATCAACTTTACAGTGTTAATTTAATAAGACTGTCATTGGATGAACAACTGCCAGCTTRGCTACACATGACCAGGCAAACGCCTGGATACAGGGACCTCAAATGATCCTTGAGGAAWATGTTGCACCTCTTGTTTATTCTGTAAAATAATTGACCTGTAGAGATATAGTTGGTATTTATCAGGGACAAAAGGTTTTCTGGTGTCTACAAAGTTTTGTTATTGGTCCTTAAAGTCACTATGTCCTAAAAACCTCAAACTATTTCTTTAGGGTTTGCATTTCTGTATGAACATTAAGATGAGTAAAATAAAAAWAATTATTATTGTTGACRTTAGGGCTGCACGATATCAGAAAAATCTGCAACGTGCGATAAGTGTTTAATATTGCGATGAYGATATGACGTGATAAATGATCAAATATATAAGTATGTATTGTTGATGTCTTKCTGCTCTGGGTTCAGATAMAAAAAATTAAAAACGTAATTATTTTCATTCTGGCATGAATTTTTTAAAAATATGAAAAGATCCATCCAGTTGGCCACATACAYGAAGGGCTCCATTTGATTTGTGAAATATTCAAGGTTCCTCCTGAGTGACAAAATGCATGAATGCAAACTTTTGAGACAACCAGGCTGAGTTTACATTGATGCACATGGGAAGATTTAAAAGTTATCTAGATGTCACAACCCTCACCCATGTCTGTTTTTCAGAGCWTGATCAGATTTTTTGAGTTAGTTCTTGTTAGTTTTATCATCTTGCTACAGTCAATGAGAAGTTTAAACGGTCGTCTGCCTCACTTTAATCCTTTCCTTTTACCCTGCATGTCATCCTACCCCATTTAATSCACCCTCAGTTCTTACAATTGAGCTCATTCCTTTTAGAGTCTTCTCATTTCTTTAAAGGGGCAATATTATGTGTTTCTCAGACATACATTTAAATACTATACCATAATAAAGTATCTATGTCACCTTTAGTTGTTATTAAAATGCTGTTTTTATGTTTAAATAGAAAATAAACTTATCTTCTCATCACTTCCTCTTCTAAACGCCTTGAAATTGGCCTCTGTCTCTTTAAGAACCTCCTTCTGTTTCTGTCTCGCCCGTTTCRGAGGGGGGCTGCCATGATGCAGTTTACTTGGCATCTGAAAATACATTTCCTCAAAGTTATTTTTAATCTAAAAAGAGCTTTACTGAGTGAGAACTARTGTTAGGAGCTCAGCAGACAGTTTCACTTTTTCAGTTTCACCAGAGAGCCTGCAGGAGTCGTGGGCGGGGTGTGTGTGTGGGGAGGGAGGGGGGGGCTCTGCCATGAGGAAGTTCAGCTTAAAGACACGTCCCAGGGGCTTTTCTGGTCCCCACCTGTCCTTTTGCTCCTCAGCATGGCTGCCTAAAAACACTGCAGGATTTCTCAAACATGCATGAATGAGTCAAAGAAAGGCTTTGGGCATGTTTTTTCTGAGAGTATAACATAACATGATGTAAAACTCAAAAAAATGATTTTACATGATATTGCCCCTTTAAAATTGAGTTATATTTCTCTTCACCTTCTTGCCGTGTGTTTGGAACCAGCTTGAATCATTCCCAAACAAATGTTGTCTGCAGATGTTGAAGCAGTTTTTATGTGTGCATGTGAAAGTCCTGAATGTTCCCGTCTTATGTTCGGAGGTCTGGGCTGGGACACCATGTGATCTGTTGTTGCCTGTATGTGTTGTGGTGCTGTAAGCTAAGACAGGCAACAATAATCTCACACCTGCTCATGTTTAGATCCAGGTAATAGAGGATGACAAAGTTAAAACCACTGAGCCGTTCACCACAGGGGTCCGAGGTCAGGCCCCGCCACTGGTCACCACCAACTTTCAAGTCAAAGATCAAGGTTTGTTCTAGCTTCTTATAAAACATTTAATCATGATTCTGTCAGTTGCATGTTATTCATTCCTTGTAAACATTTAAAAATGTAAATCAAGTGAGTAAACAGGTTTGTTTTTAATAAGGAAAAGGTGTAATGTCTCTGGTTGTATTAATGGAAGACTTGTCTGTACTCAGGGAATGCCAGTCCCCGGTATATTCGCTGTACGGCCTACAATATGCCCTGCACATCTGATATGGCCAAGCAGTCTCAGGTGCCGCTGGCTGCTGTCATCAAGCCCCTCGCCACGCTGCCACCTGATGAGGTAAGGGACGTCCCCTCCTCTTGTAAATGTATATTTATTTGTTAGACATGACATTTTGTCATTCATTGTTCTCCTTTAACTCTGACAGTGTGCACTCAGAGTCAGATTTAGTGAAAGATTAGTTCAGTCTCTGGGGATGATCTAAAAAATTGTGGATGCTGGATTTTTTTGCACGACTTCATAAGATCTTGTCATTTTTACCCAAATCATWGTATCATCATCTGGTGAAAACAGTTTCAGTGAAAGGAAAATGCTTTTTTTAGCTGATAAAGTTTCATTAGTTTCAGTAGCTCTGCCAGGATTTGTTCTTTCTAGAATTTTCTTACTGTGTGAAATTCAGATAAATGTGCAATCTTTGTGAAACAATGTTTCAGACCCCTCCTTACCTGGTAGACCATGGAGAGAGTGGTCCGATCCGCTGCAACAGATGCAAGGCTTACATGTGTCCGTACATGCAGTTCATAGAGGGAGGTCGCCGCTTCCAGTGTAGCTTCTGCAGCTGCGTCACAGAGGGTGAGTTTGTGTTTGCATTAATCTTAAAAAAATGTGTATATGTTTTTCTCTTTAACCCTTCCTTGGTTTTCTCCCACAGTGCCTCCACATTACTTCCAGCATCTGGACCACACCGGCAAGAGGGTGGACAGCTACGACAGGCCGGAGCTGTCGTTGGGCACCTACGAGTTCCTGGCCACTGTCGACTATTGTAAGGTAAGATCTCTGATCRAAACTGCTGGTTTCTCTGCAAAACTGAACTTTTTTTTTTGTGACAGCATCTTAAATTGTTCTAAAAAAAATTTTGTTTTGTAATTTCATTGTGTGATCACATGGTTGTTATAAGTTGGGTTAGTAATGYTTAGAAACTTTTCAGCTGGGTCAATAGAGATTGTTTGAGAACATCTTAAAACTGTGCAGCCTTGATATAAATAACAGTCTTATTCTGTACAGAGTACAATCTGCAATAGATAAAATTAATTATTGTCATTTTATTTTAACCTCAGGACAGATTATAACAAGATGAGGTTTATTGGTTAAACACAAAGTCAATCAATCAATAAGTTTATTCAGTCAATTCAACAATTTCATCATTAACATTCAAAACATATTTTTCTTGTAAYGGTATACATGAGTGAAAAGGAAGCAGGAAGAAGAAAAACCTTGTAAAACCTGCTCCTTTCTCAATAATTACTATTTATTTTTTTCATGGCCACATACATTAAATCAAGAATATAAATTTCAAACTATATATCATTCTCCTCATTAACTCAAAAGTGTATAAGACTTGATCATTTTTTCCTTATAAAGTATTTTGAATTGTTTTAAAGTAGAACATTTTTTCAAATCATCATCCAAACTGTTCCATAATTTTCAGTGTATATATCATTCTCCTCATTAACTCAAAAGTGTATAAGACTTGGTCATTTTTTCCTTATAAAGTATTTTGAATTGTTTTAAAGTAGAACATTTTTTCAAATCATCATCCAAACTGTTCCATAATTTTACTCCATAAACCAAAAGTGATGTTTAATATAAAACAACTTGAAAAGCATAATTTGTAATAATTTTATTTAATTGTTTCTAGTCGTTTCCCGTTTTGCTTGTTTTACGGTTGAATATTTTTACACGGTTAATAAACTGTAACATAGAAAATATGTAGAGAAAATGTAAAGCTCAAAATTATATAGACTTTCAGTCATACACTGCTTGCCTGCTGCATTATGTTGGTTTTAAAAACAAAGAATGTGCTAAATCCCCCAACCTTTGTCTTGTTTATTATTTTAAAATCTCTCTTATAACAAATTTATTAAATACATAGAAATCATATTCCTACACTCCAGTATCTCCTGACAGCCATGAAGTATTTTCGACTGATCACCAAAAGTAATTTGAATCTCCTCAGTAAACTGTAATTTTTAATTCTTTTTATGAAAATGTTTTGGAACAGATAATTAGCAAATTAAGTCAACAAATTCTTTCAAATATTCATAAATTTCAAAGTTAGTTTATGGGTCTATGTCTGTCTTTACCAGAACAACAAGCCTCCTCAGCCTCCAGCCTTCATCTTCCTCATCGATGTGTCCTACAACGCTGTGAAGAGCGGCATGGTCAACATCGTCTGCCACGAACTCAAGAGTCTGTTGGACCACCTGCCCAGGTATTCACACACAAACATCGCATAAAGTTGGATGAAAGAGTGATGAGAAAAAAGCGAGGGAACATCTCGTTCAGATGAATGAGTTCAGTGTTAAAGATGACGGGGGATGCAAAAAGAAAAACGTTACGTTTTCAGAATGTAAATAAAATGCTGCTGTTTTTCCTTCCTTTCATTGCTTCCTGCTCACGTTCAGGGAAAACCCCGAGATGGATTCTGTGGTCCGAGTGGGTTTCGTCACCTACAACAAGGTTTTGCACTTCTACAACGTAAAGTCGAGCCTGGCGCAGCCGCAGATGCTGGTGGTGTCGGACGTGTCAGACATGTTTGTGCCGCTGCTCGACGGCTTCCTGGTCAACGTGAGCGAAAGCCGACAAGTTATCGAGAGGTGGGTGGAAACTGATCCGATAGTCGGACACATTGATTTCTTTTTTTTATAACACCACGTTTTATGCTCTTCAGTTTGTTGGATCAAATCCCAGAGATGTTTGCAGACACCAGGGAGACGGAGACGGTCTTTGGACCCGTCATTCAGGCTGGACTGGAGGCTTTAAAGGTGAAAAATTTTACTTATTTTGTGTACCTGAAAGCTTTTAATGACCTCTTCTATTTAAAGTTCTCAAAAATACCAAACCTGATATTTAAACTTGATGTGAAATGATTACTTTTGTAAATCTACGCAGTGTTTTCAGATTATAAAGGCTGACTCGTCACTTAATGAGTGTTTGACAGTTTGATCCCACATGTGGGTGAAGATTTGACGTTGCTGTCTCTGGTTATCGTCAGGCTGCAGACTGTGCAGGGAAGCTGTTTGTGTTTCACACCTCCCTGCCCATCGCAGAGGCTCCTGGAAAACTAAAAAACAGAGAAGACAAGAAGTTAATTGGAACAGACAAGGAGAAGGTAAACACGAACACAGACAGAATCTATAATAGCTCAGATTTTTGTTTCATTCTGACCTTTTTTTTCTCTCCAGTCTCTCTTTCAGCCACAGAGCGGATTCTACAACAACCTGGCTAAGGAGTGTGTGGCGCAGGGCTGCTGTGTGGATCTCTTTTTGTTCCCCAATCAGTATGTGGATGTTGCCACGTTAGGAGTGGTTCCTGTCTCCACTGGAGGCTCAATCTACAAATATACATATTTTCAGGTAAGCACAACTCTCTGCAATCCACCCGCTTTGGATGTTATCATCCATTAAATGGACGTTGTTAGCCATTATCAGTTCCATAGAATGGCTTCAGACTGTCAGCTGGTTAATATGAGGCATAAAGCCACTAAGGTTAGTTTTAGAGAAAATGACATGGGCTACAATAAAGTAGACTGGACTCYGGCGGTAGCAGATTGTTGCATTCCAACGTATATGGCACTGATAACCCACTAGGGGGCACTGTCAGGACAGTCTGAAGCCATTCTATGGGAMTGATAACTGCTAATAACATCCATTTAATGGACTGATAACATCCGAACCGGCTGCTGCAATCTCTTTACTGTTAATTTTTGACCTGATGAAGGAGATTTTTATCAATCGGTTTGATTTAAAGYGGACATATTTACTTTTTTAGCCATTAATGCATTTGTTGTGGATTTGGCGTCTCTAGGAGCGCAGAAAAGTTTAATTTAGTTGTTCCTAGTGCTGAGTAGATATCTTTTCTTTATGACATTTTCTGAACTATTGCATCACAGTATTTGTGATGGATCTTCTAAATAAACTACATTTTCGTGGTTTTCATTCTCCTCTGGGTCAGACTCTGGATCCAACATGTAAGGCTGGATGGMCAAGTCTCCCCTTGTTGACATCTTGTAATTCATTTGTAAATAAAACTTTTTTCTGCGCAGCTATATAGGCGTAAACCTCTTTGTCAACCTAGAAGGGATTGGTCTTGAAGGGAGGGCGGTGAAGCTAAATTGGATTTAAAGAGACAGCCTCAAAACGAGTTGATCTGAGACACACCTCAGAAAAGCGTCATATGTTCCTTCAAAGAAAATAAAAACATTTTCATAATTTTTGTTTTCATCACAGGCTCAAACAGATCAAGAGCGATTCCTGAATGACCTCAGGAGGGACGTTCAGAAACAAATTGGGTTTGATGCCGTAATGAGGGTGCGAACAAGCACGGGTGAGACTTTTTAACCCCTCGAAAACTGCATCACGACATAAAACGCAACTAATCCAGCGCTGGGTAAATGATTCACCAAGCTTTATTTGTTATCAGGTATCAGAGCGACAGACTTCTTCGGCTCGTTCTACATGAGCAACACGACAGATGTGGAGCTGGCAGGTCTGGATTGTGACAAGGCAATCACTGTCGAGTTCAAACATGACGACAAACTCAGCGAAGAGACGGGGGCACTCATGCAGGTGAGCACATTTTACTATAAAGTAAAGTGGTATACTCCTTCAAACGGGCATAAAATTAAGTTAGTGGAGTCAAAATCTGAAATCTATTCTCTGGTTTGCTGCAGTGTGCCGTGCTATACACGAGCTGCAGCGGTCAGAGGCGCCTCCGTGTCCACAACATGGCTGTCAACTGCTGCTCCCAGCTGGCTGACCTCTACCGCAACTGTGAGACGGACACAATCATCAACTACTTGGCCAAATACGGTATGTTTTTAGCGTTTAGTGCAAAAACCACAGCTGATAGCTTGTTGACTTTTCTGTTCACAGTATAATGTAATTCTCGTGTGGTTTTTGTGATTCGCAGCTTTCCGGGGCATTCTGAACAACCCCACCAAGGCAGTGAGAGACACTCTGGTCAACCAGTGTGCTCAGATCCTGGCTTGCTACAGGAAGAACTGTGCGAGTCCTTCATCTGCTGGTCAGGTACTGAAAGCTTCAGCAAATATCCAGTTTTAAAGTTTAAATTTAATGGGACAATATAGTTTTATAATATAAGCTTTTGATATTAGATTCCTGGTAGTTTGCTTCATTGTATTTTCACACTTCACGTGTTTGTTTTTTGCATTCTTACAGCTCATCCTGCCTGAGTGCATGAAGCTGCTTCCTGTCTATCTGAACTGCGTGCTGAAGAGCGACATCCTGCTGCCTGGAGCTGACGTCTCATTGGACGACAGGGCTTACCTCAGGCAGCTGATCAGCTGCATGGACGTCGCAGAAACCCACGTCTTCTTCTACCCCCGCCTGCTGCCTCTGGTGAGACGTCAAACACAGCCACGGAAAGATATACGTGCAGATGTTTTTGGGCATATTTAGCACATTTTATTCTTTTATTCTATTTCTTTTAATGTGTATTTGCTCTGCCGTGGGAGTGGCTTTAATCTAGTTCTGCGCACGTGTAATGACAATAAAGGCTTTCTATTGTATTTCTATTCTATCCTCTTCTCTGACTGGATTTGTACTTTTACTTATAAACTCTTACAATCTGTCTGGGAGTTGAAAACTCAAATGAGTTGATAAATATGTTCTTAATGGAAGTATTTATGATTGACATTAGTGATAAAAGAACCTAAAGTTATAAGAATAGAAGAAGGAAAGAATCGTCGTGGGTCGAACGTCTCACTTCAGGTGTAAATCTGTAATTCTCTCTAGAAGAGTTTGATCAAAGTGTTGACCCCCAGTTTGTCTTCTCCTCTTAATTGTTTCAGGTCAAATTGGACAGCAGCTCTTTGCCGGTAGCAGTGAGAGACTCTGAAGAGAGGCTGTCGAAAGGCGGAGTTTACCTGATGGAGACGGGGCTCCACCTCTTCCTGTGGGTGGGGGCCAGCGTCCAACAGGAGCTGCTCCTCAACATCTTCGGCACGCCGAGCTTCAGCCAGGTGGACTCGAGCATGGTGAGAGGAAAACTGAACCTGGMTTATTTAATGGAAAGGCATTCATGTTTGGTTGTAATCCGGCAGCGTTGTGAACGTTTGGAAATGTTTATTCTTTCTGAATGTTGTTGTTGTTTCAGACAAACCTGCCTGTTCTGGACAACCCGTTCTCACAGAGACTCAGAGAGATCATCGACTCCTTCAGAGCGCAGCGCTCACGCTACATGAAGGCAAGCTTGTGCTTTTTATTTACTTATTTTTTWAATTCTCACTAGGGTTGGGCAAAACCCTCTGGTGTGCAATTAATCATCAGGAAATTTTTAATCGAATATTTTTTGGCGCTTGATGATTAATACGGTTAATGCAGTCCACTCGATGCTGCTCTTCATTTCAAACATAAACATTTTTACAAAAAGTTCTATAATTTATTTATAATAACTTTGGTTTTACCTGGTCTATCAACACAATTTAAAAATTGAYGTTTAWCCTGAAGTCTGTACTTTTGAAACAGTTTGCAACAGATTTTTATGGAGAGCAAATCTTTCCCATTAGASTGATTTAAATTGGTCATGTGATTAGGGCATGCAGGTGTCCAGGGACTCCAGGGGATTAATCACCATATTAATCGTTATGGGCTAAATACTACAATTAATGGTGATAATTTTTTTGACAATATCGCCCAACCCAAATTCCCACATCTCCTAAAACTTCTCCCTTCTTAAATTTGTAAAAAATTGATTTTATATATCTTTAAAATACCCCAAAAATTAGCCACCTTTAAAAAAAAAAAAAAGTACCAAAATACATAAAAATGCTGAATTTATTTGGAAAATAAATGTTTTCATTAAAAAACTATCATTAAAAGTTTAAAACTGTTTATTTGACAGCATGGGGGCAGTATATTTACTGAAAATCTGCAGAACTGTTTAAAATTGTCAGTTAGCTAGAATTTTTAACTTTCCTAAAATTCAGAACTTTTTCTGTTTTGCTTTACTAAAAAACTAAAAATTAACAGTTTTAGAATGGTTTCCTAATATTTATACTCAAGTAGAATCAGATTTTATAATCAGAGTTTGGTTCATGTATTCATCTTATTTTTCTAAAACAATGTTATTTTTTTAATTCCACATTTATCTAATTAAACAATCTGAGCGACTGCAGCTGATATAAAATCAGCCTAACTATCGTCTCAGGATTTAAACCCCATCATTTAGGCGGTCAGGTGTTGCGTGTGGTTTGCTCGTGTTTCGGTTGTGGAGTAATTTTATTGAATTAGGGTCAGATTTAAAATTTCACCCAATTCTGTTCTTAAAAAAATGCAGTTATGAAACCTGTCCTGAAAATGAAATAATCACTTAAAAAAGAAATAAACTTGAGCTGAAGCATTTTTTACAGCCATATTCATGATTTTGATGAATCTTGTGTCACATCTGTGTCAGACAGAGAGTTCTTTGTTTACTTTTACTGGTGAAGCCCAGAAACSCTGCTCTGCTCACGTCGCCTCTTCTTGTTTTTCAGCTGATGGTGGTGAAACAGGAAGACCGGACCGAGCTGATATTCAGGCACTTCTTAGTGGAGGACAAGAGCGCCAGCGGGGGAGCGTCGTACGTGGACTTCCTGTGTCACATGCACAAGGAGATCCGGCAGCTTCTCAGCTAGACCCTCCACCTTTTAAGCCCCTCGCCCGTTCCCCAAACCCCGGCCTCGGTCACCTGTCGCCCCTCTCCCTCCAGTTGTTGTTTTTTTGTTTAATCATATAAACTAAAACTCTTCTTACTGTCTGTCAGCTGAGCACCAGAGACCAGCTCGCAGATCACATCACGTGTGTGTGATGGGGAGTGTTTGGAGATGAGGATGTGACATTAGTGAAGCCTCAGATCTGCAGCTCCGACACAGCAAAGAGCAAAACTGACAGGGAAGGGTCATGTACATAAACAAGTAAACAAATATGTATGCAACAGACAAAGTGAAGGAGGAAGCTGATGTACTGTCTGTATCTCTAGCACTGAAAGGTTATTACTTTGTTGTTTTTGTTGGGGGGTGGGGGAGCAAACATTTTTCTATAATTGAGTTCTGATTCAGTGACAGACATCTATGTATAAACAAATGAAATGCTGTTCTAGATTTCTTTTACCCACCTTAATCATGGCCTTAGAACCCTCCCCCCACGCTGCTTCAATCATCCATAATGTTTTCACATGTCAGAGGATTAGCCGCCATCTTGCCCCGTTTTTAATCCGCCGCAGTTTATCCAGGTGCAAACATCTGGATTTAGGTGTAGCTCGAGCCGGGGGGGGAAATTGAGAAAATATTTAAACCGTACCTATAAAAGTCACATATTTGTTTTAAATGGTTGGAATAAACTGAAAATAAAGCTGTTTTAAGACAAATTAAGTCAAACGGGATTTGTTTAAGTCTGCTTTAATAAATGAAGCCGACATCTGGCTCCGATTTCTGAACTGTTCTGAGCCAGATGTGCACTTTGGACTGTTTTATTTGCAGCACAGCAGAGTGGAGGACAATTTCTGAGGCGCGGATCCTCGACGTGTCCTGCTGCAGACTTTATATTAATCACACATTTGTATGAAAGAGGACATTTCCAGTCGAAATATGAAATAAAACGGCACAGAATGGGAGCAGATGAAAGAGAAGCAGCTGTCTTCACACTGAGGAGTGGTGAAAGCTGTTCGGTGTGTAAATAAAAGATGAAATTTGTACAGAATGAAAAGGAAATAACAATTTTAAAGACATGCCTGAGCAGCTGTGTGTTCTGTGTCACAAACAGCCAAAATATACACTTTACTAAAACAGAGGAAGGACGGGGATTTTGATATGTTTGTGCGTGTGACGTGTGTGAATGTGGGGTCGGTCCTGGTGAATTTCTCGCGAGGAACAGAGGGATCAGCCAACATACAAACAACATAAAACCACCCTTGATTGAGCTCATTTATCAGTTCTGTTTTAGTGTTTGGTGTGTCTGCAGCCCTCTGTTCCGTCTTTACGTTCACTGATTCATGACTGTAAACTGAATTATTTTTGTTTTTCTTTTAAAAAAAAGTTTTCTCCCCATTGCCTCTTGGGACTGCTAATAAAACAATTGTTGAAAGTAAAAACCGCACATTTTGATTCTCCTGTTTGTGACGTTCACTGAAGTAGAAGTTTGATTATTTGCTAAAATGCTTTGAGGTCACATTTTTAAATCGTGTCTCCAAAAACTTTTTTTTCCTGAATTATGAAACACTTGTTTTAGTTTCTGTTTGTAGAAGACAGGCTGAAAATTGTGAGTGTTGCACAAACTTTTGCCTCGTTGACCAGATGGAATTTTTCTGGTTTTAGTTCAGATTAATGGGAAATCATTTTATGCGAMGCTGTGATTTTTCTATGAATAACTCAAACCAGCTCATATTCTTTTCAAAACTCATTCTTTCTGCAGTTACACTCGAGACTTTACTTATTGATACAAAAATGTTTCAGTAATAATTAAACAGGTGTTTAATTATATAAGAAATTGATTGAATTTTACATGTAGRTCTTTAGGATCAGCAATGAATATTAAAGGAACCAAGTGTGTTCTTTTTAAAATAAATTTTAAAGCAAAGTGTGTAACCATTTAGAAATGACTGCGTTTTGAAGATACACTCAAAAAAACAGATTGTTGGATTTTCTTATCTATGTTATGTCAACAATTTCCACTCAACTCAGTCGAGTGGAAATTGTTGACGTAACTTGGTCGAGCAAATCCAACAATCTGTTTTTTGAGTGTAACCACTAATTTACACTAGATGTGGTTTCGATCTGGTCCGGTCTGACCTCCACAGTAAATATGCAACCATTATAATAAATGAGTGTATTTACACTGGCTCCATACGGTGGCGGTGAGTGAATGGCGACCCACCATATTTAGATTGAATCCTATTTTTGCCGAAGCTGCTCCGGAGTCGATCTACAAAGATCACATCGGACCAACAGGAACAAGAAAACCATCCATATTTTCAGAATATTTCTCCAGAGACAGACTAATTTTGTTGAAATCCTAGCTATAATAACTAATATATGGATATATTTCTACACAAATTCTGTCAGAATGTTTCGTTATAGGCAGCAGGCAACATGTAAGGTGCAGCATGTACTCACATGATATTTCAAAAAGACAACAGTGATTCTTTTTCAACTGTGTTTGGAGTCCATATTCATCAGAATTAATTATTTTGCCTTTCCACATTTATCACAGGATTTATTGCGTGATCTCTTTCCTGCACACGCTTCCTC